TTCCTGGACTTGTAAGTCTATTTCTTTCACCAGGTAGGGGAAGTTTTCTGTCATTATTTCTTCAAATAGGTTTTCAATATATTGCTCTCTCTCATCTTCTGGCACCCCTATAATTCAGATGTTGGTACGCTTGAAGCTGTCCCAGAGGCTCCTTACACAATCTTCATATTTTTGGATTCTTTTTACATTTTGCTTTTCTGGTTGGGTGTTTTTGTTTCTTCATATTTCAAATCTTTGACTTGATTCTTGCGATCTTCTAGTCTGCTGTTGGAACTCTGCATAATATTCTTTATTTCAGTCAGTGTATGCTTAATTTCTAGTTGGTTCTTTATCACAACCTCGAGGGTCTCATTAGATTTCTTGAGGGTCTCATTAAATTTATCGGCGGTTTCTAGAAAATTCTTGAAAAACCTTAAAAGTGTGGTTTTAAACTCTATATCCAGTAGTTTGCTTTCCTCCATTTCTGTCATTTGTGTCCTATTTCTTTGTCTCTGCATTTTTTATGCTTCACTGTGTCGATAGAGTGGCTTTCTGTACTAGGTGTCCTATAGGGCCCAGTGGCTCAGCCTCCCCAATTACCTGAGGTAGACACGCTTGTTGCACCCCCTTGTGGGCTTTGTGCACAGTCTTGTTGTAGTTAAGCCTTGATTGTTGTAGGTAACACTAGGAGGGATTGACCTCCAGGCCAATTGGCTATGAGAATCAGCTGTGTCTGCAGTGGGAGAACTTCTGTGCTGGAGACACCCCTCTGGGGCAAGACTTGCTTCAATGGGGCTTTGGTGCTCACTGAGTCTGCCCCCTGAGTGTGTCCTTTATGAATCCGAGGAGCTGCAATCTGGTTGGTCCCACTCTGACCACTGGGCACACTGGCTCCTGGATCTCTAAGGAGGTGCTAATCAAGCCTCTGCCTGAGGCTATCCAGCAGGAGCCAGCTGTGACGCAATGCAAGTTGCCCTGGGGCCTTGGGCCAGCTGCAGTTTTTTAGGTAATTATCAGATTGCAAAGGGCCAGGCCTTTCATATGCAAAAGCCTCCGTGCAGGGCTTGGGCAGGGCGGGATCCCAGGGGATCAACAGAGCAGTTATTGCTGCTCTCAGTCCTGCCCTCAGAGGCCCTGCTTCTCAGTGTCCTGGCAATTGCTGCAAGCACCCCCGAGAGAAAGCTGCCCTCGAGTTCTGACCGATGCCAGACAGTCCAGTTTCTCCCATATGGGTCTGGGTCCCCAGAGACTTGCCTGGAACTGGAGCTCAGAGCTTGAGACTCCCTCCCGATTGAAAAAGACAACCGTGTCCTCAGCCGCCAACCCTCTCCGCATGCGCCTCTGTACCTCTGTATTTTACTTCTGCACCGCACCTCCTCTGTGTCTCGGTATGCTTTTCTCTTTCCTTCTAGTTGTAGAATTTCCACTCAGCCAGCCTTCCTGTGGTTCTGGATGATGTCCGTTCCGTCTTTTAGTTGTATTTTTGAAGTGGTTGTGCGAGGCAGCAATCTCCGGTGTTTACCTATGCCACTGTCTTGGTTTCTCCTCTTAATGTTAACTTTTTAGGGGAGATAATTATATGTGGCTATGTTAAGACAATCTTTCAGAAATATATATTGAAGTGTTTATGGATGATATCATAAAATGTCTGGGATTTACTTCAAAATAATCCAGTTGGAGAGAGGAGGATGGGTAAAGGTATTGAAACAAGATTGACAGTAACTCAATTATCAGTGAGTTGATAATTGTTGAACTATGTAATGGGTATATAGGGCTTCAATATCCTATTCTCTCTGTTGTGTTTGGAAATTTGTGTAATAAAAATGTTAAAAGCTAAAAAGTGTCCAAAACTAAATTGATTAACCTTGCCTACATCCATTTCCTGACAATAATTTTTCTATTAATGTCCCCTTATCTTCTCAGTCACTTATTAAAACCCAAAGCTCTTTTATTTTATTTTATTATTTTATTTTTTATTTTTTTTCCAAAGCTCTTTTAATTTCCTTTTTCTCCCTGACTTCTACACCCAATCAGTTCCTAAGTCAGGCTGAGACCCTTCAGAGCGAATCCTGTTTCTGTCCTTTCTTTTTCATTCAAACTGCTATCCTTCTAAGAAGTTCCTCATTACTTCTTGCTTAAACTAGTGTAATGACATTCATAAATTCCTCCCCGCTTCCAGTCCCTTCTTACTTGGTTTATGTAAAGCATGTAACATAGTGCTTGATACTTAATCCCTCCTGTCTTTCGCCTGACTTGTGAATTTATCTTCCTTACTGCTGCCTGCTTAGCCTTCTGATACATCATCATCCCTCTTCCCTGAGAGAGACTGCTCCTCACTCCCTTTCAGAATGCTTTCCTACCAATCCCTTCTGGATCCTGCAACCTCACTGCTGCCTCCACTTCACCCTAACTGCCATGTGGAGGAAGCATGTGTGACTGAATTAAGACTGATCTCTCAGTTCCAAAGTTAGATATAAGATCAGGGGAGTCTTTACCTATAGACAAAATGGTCATACTAAATGTGAGTAAAAGAGAAGTTTTAAAGCTGCTTCTTGTCTCCCCAACTCAGTGGGGAAGAAAAGGAAGGATCTCTAGTCCAGAGGGATCAGCTTCTAGATCCAGGCAGGGAAGGATAAATGCTGATGGCAAAGAAGGAGCTTCATGGATATTACTCTGGCAAGCCAGGGGCTTCTTTTTTAAATTAATTTTTAAATATATTTTTATTGATTTCAGAGAGGAAGGGAGAGAGAGAGAGAGAGAGATAGAAACATCAATAGTGAGAGAGAATCATTGATAGGCTGCCCCCTGATTGCCCCACACTGGGGATCGAGCCTGCAACCTGTGCATGTGCCCTGACTGGTAATCGAACCATGACCTCCTGGTTCATAGGTTGATAATCAACAACTGAGCCACGCCGGCCGGGCAAGCTAGTGGCTTCTTCCTTTTCTTTTAAGATAAATCTTTATTGTTCAGATTATTACAGTTGTTCCTCTCCTCCCCCCCCCATAGCTCCCCTCCACCCGGTTCCCACCCCACCCTCTGCCCTTATCCCCCCCCCACTGTCCTCATCCATAGGTGTACAATTTTTGTCCAGTCTCTTCACGCACCCCCACACCCCTTTCCCCCCGAGAATTGTCAGTCCACTCCCTTTCTATGCCCCTGATTCTATTATATTCACCAGTTTATTCTGTCCATCAGATTTTTTATTCACTTGATTTTTAGATTCACTTGTTGATAGATATGTATTTGTTGTTCATAATTTTTATCTTTACCATTTTCTTCTTCTTCCTCTTCTTAAAGAATACCTTTCAGCATTTCATATAATACTGGTTTGGTGGTGATGAACTCCTTTAGCTAGTGGCTTCTTGAGGAAGTACACCTTTCCTCGTCTGGCTAAGGGAAGAAAAGCAAGAGCTGCCTCCAGCGGATCTCAGGGGCAGTATCAGCAGTGTGGACTGGGGAAAGATCCTGTAGCCCAGAGCTGTCCTAGAGAAATGGCTATAGAACATTTGCTTTTGGTGGTCTGGCTGGGTATAGTTCTGCTATGGAGAGCAGCCAAGCATTCAGGGACTGGACTGATCAAGCACAAAGAACCCCCATCCTTTAAAAAGAAAATTCTGTAAGTCAGCCAGTCACATTCTTCATTTTAAGCATAACACTTTGCAACTAAAACCAAACTGCTGTATTATAATCAAGATGCATCCGCCTGCATCCGCCTGCATATTTAAGGCCCACAGGCTTCAACTAATTTAAGGGAACCATCTGGTGAGAAAAAGAGAAAGTCTTACTACAAAGTGGCATTGATTTCAGGCTCAGGCCTCAAAAGGGATTGTCCGTGGGACCCCACCCAATTCCCTGTGTCAGTGCCCAGTGCTCCTGACCCTACAACTTGGGGAGAAAGGGCACAGCTTTGGAGTCAGACAGGTTTAATTTCTCCTCCAAGGCTCACAAACTAGGTATCTTGAGCCACAAGACTTCTGAGATTGAGTTTCCTCATTTAGAAAATGGGAATTAGATTATACCTGAAGTTTTGGGGAAGATTAAAAGAAATAGAGTTGCCTTGGCCAGGTGGCTCGGTTGGAGCATCATCCTGTACACCAAGATTGTGGGTTTGATTCTGGTCAGGGCACAAACCTATGTTTCGGGTTCCATCCCTAGGTAGGGGCATGTACAGGAGGGAACTGGTTGATCTCTCTCTCTCTCTCTCTCTCTCTCTCTCTCTCTCTCTCTGTCTCTTCCTTCCTCTCTCTAAACATATCCTTGGGTGAGTATTAACATTTTTAAAAAAATATTAAAATAAAACAAAGTCTCCCAGAGGGCACCTAGAACTATTGCTTCCTTTTCTATGACCCATAACTTAATCCTCCATCTTATCCCCTGTGAGCCTTGTTCTTCTTGCTTTCTTTTCCTAACATCCACTTTCACATGCACAGACATGAGCATGTTTTAAAACAGATATTTAAACAAAAGGCCTAAAAGACAAGTTTTTTCTCATTTTTTAAAATCCTCACTCGAGGATATTTTAAAAAATATATATATTTTATTGATTTTTTACAGCGAGGAAGGGAGAGGGATAGAGAGTTAGAAACATCGATGAGAGAGAAGCATCAATCAGCTGCCTCCTGCACACCCCCTACTGGGGATGTGCCTGCAACCAAGGTACATGCCCTTGACCGGAATCGAACCCGGGACTCTTCAGTTCCCAGGCCGACGCTCTATCCAGTGAGCCAAACTGGCTAGGACGAGGATATTTTTAAAAATTTGATTTTACACACACAGAGAGAGAGAGAGAGAGAGAGAGAGAGAGAGAGAGAGAGAGAGAGAGAACACAAACAAACAAACAAACAAACAAAAAACATTGAGCAGTTGCCTCTGTTTGGATTGAACCTGAAACCTAGGTATGTACCCTGATGGGGAACTGAACCTACAACTTTTTGGTGTATGGGACAAAGCTCCAACCAACTGAGCCATTGGCTAGGGCAAAAAATAAGTTTTGTTCTGATGCTGTTATTTTTTTGCTTCTCCAGAAGGTAAAGAATTGAAAAGAAATTGCTCTGGGATACAGTGGTTGGAGACATTTTTGCCTCTTTTGTAGTATGGTAAGCAAATCTACTCTCAAAGTCCTGCTGTCCTACATTATGTAGTTGAAAGGATTATACCAGTTAGCTGGGACAAATGCCAGTTGCAATTCAGGAGTAGGGGGAGAGAGAACTGGGGAGCAGGTTGGTTAGAGATAGAAACTCTGGGAATGTGGATGCTTTTAGATTCTAATAGATAACTGCTAGTTAGGTGACAACTTTATTTTAAGTGAGAATATCAATATGGCTGTATTCCTAATTAGAATCTAATGCTCAAAATTTCCTCTACATCAAGAGACAAAATTAAAAAGTGATGATTAAAATTGGAAGAATGTAATTGCTGAAGCTGAATAATGGATACCTGGAACTTCACTGCAGTATTCCCTATACTTTTGTGTGTGTTTGAAAATATCCATAAGTTGAAGTTTTTATATGACAGTTATGGGACCATGATGGTTATTCAAGAACTGGAGACTTTGACTATCATGTCAGTAAAGCTAGTAAGGATATTTGAACCAAAAGAATTCCTTAGAGGAAATGTGGTCATTTCTTATAATGCTTATCTAGTTAACTGGATTTATTTGAAGGATTAAATTGCATGCAGATAAAACTTTTGGTGGATATAATATAAATTGGTCTCAAAAAGCTTTTGATAAGATGTTATAGCCACATTTTTAATGGAATTGAGTCACCATAGGACTGTGACCCTCTTTTCTCTCAGTAGATATATGGCCTTTAGAAATAGGAAACAATAGAAATAGTAGAGGTAAAGGAGGTTAAAGACATTATTCCAACATTTCAAAAGCATGATTTCTTAGGGATAGAAAAGGGGATAGTTTTTAAAAACAAATCTTTACAAAAGATATGAAGGAAGGAATTGCTGTGAAATCTCCAAGAGGACAATACATGAAACTCTTCCTGACAATAAAAAGCTTAGTTGATGGTAATAAAGTATAAGGAAAACTCAGGGGCATGGGTATGGGCTCATTATTGAATGACCTAAAGATAATTTACATATGTAAATGTACACATGTGCATTTGATGCTAGAGTCATGGCTGTGATTGATTGTGGAACTCAGAACAGATTTTTCTCCTGCTAAGATTGGCATTTTGGAAGGTATGGGCAGATACTCTAATATAGACACCCATAATCTATCCTGTCAAGGGCTTCAAGATGGAGTAAAGCTAAAATCTACTAGGGAAGAAAAATAGTCTGCCCTCAGGGGTTTCCCCTCTCCTTCCAGGGAGAGGGTTGATATGTCTACTGACAGTGGAAAAAATAAGTCAAAAGAGAGTTGAGAGTTTTTTCTCCTTCTATTTGAAGGAAGGAAAATGAGAGTAGCAAGTTCTCACAGTGGTGATGGGTAGAGATCAACACACTTCACGCAAGCTGTACTGACAGGACCAGCTACATAATTTGCAGGACACAGTACAAATGGAAAATGTGAGGCCCCTTGCTCATGAATTATTCAGAATTTAAACATATTGACAGCAAAATATTAAACCAAACATGGGCTCTTCTAAACTTGGGACTTTGTGTGACAGTATAGGTTGCATGCCTATCACTTCTGGACAGCAGGAGTAGTGATAGCAAAAATTCAGAAGGCATAATAGAAAGGTATAACTCTTTAAACCAAGTTCATGTAAAATTCTACCACCTTTAAACAACCATTGTTATAATTTTGGCATATAACCCAGAGATTTCTTTATATATACACACACATGTAGACATGTATTCATACAGCTTTATACTATATAAATGTTAAATTGTACATTCTCTTCTGTAGCCTTTTAAAAAACTTATTACATTTTGGACAGTTTTCCATGTTAAGAGATATAAATCATCTCAATCCTATTGTGGGGGGGTGGGGGCGGAAATCATTTTCCTTTTAACTCTCTAAGTTCTTTTGGCATGAGTCAGATTAATGGGAGAAATTGGCCAAATAATTATGGATGTACAGGCAGGGATTCCATAATATGAGCACAAGAAATAAACTACAATAAAAACAATTTAAAAAATCAAGCACTTGGAGGCTAAATAGCATGCTATTAAACAATGATTGGGTTACCAAAGAGATCAAAGAAGAAATAAAAAAAAGTCCTGGAAATGAATGACAATGAAAACACAACAATCCAAAATCTATGGGACACAGTGAAAGCAGTCCTGAGAGAGAAGTTCATAGCATGACAGGCCTACCTCAAAAAACAAGAAAAACTTATAATAAATTATCTCTCCCTACAACTTAAAGAATTAGAAGGAGAGCAACAAGAAAAGCCCAGAGTGAGCAGAAGGAAGGAAATAATAAAGATCAGAGCAGAAATACATGACACAGAGATAAAAAAAAATACAAAAGATTAATAAAACCAAGAGTTGGTTCTTTGAAAGGATAAACAAGATTGATGAACTTCTAGCCAGGCTCACCAAGAGGCAAAGAGAGAGGACCCAAATAAGCAAAATCAGAAATGAAAGAGGTGAAGTAACAACTGACCCCACAGAAATACAAGGGATTGTAAAAAAAAAAAATACTATGAACAACTCTATTTCAACAAAATTGACAACCTAGATGAAATGGACATATTCCTGGAAAAATACAATCTTCCAAAACTCAATCAGGAAAAAAAAAACAAAAAATAAACTTGAGTAGGCCGATAACTATGGAGGAAATTGAAGCTGTAATAAAAAAACTTCCAGCAAACAATAGCCCTGGTCCAGATGGCTTCACAGGGGAGTTTTACCAAACATTCAATGAAGAACTAAAACCTGTCCTCAGACTACTCCAAAAAATTCAAGAGGAAGGCACACTTTCAAGTTCTTTCTAAGAAGCCAACATTACTGTAATTCCCAAAACAAGATAAAGACACCACAAAGAAAGAGAATTACAGGTAAATATTCCTGATGAACATAGAAGCTAAAATCCTCTATAAAATTCTAGCAAATCAGATTCAGCATTACATTAGAAAGATCATACACCATGACGAAGTGGGATTTATTCCGGGGATGCAAGGATGGTACAATATCCGCAAATCAATAAATGTGATACTTCACATAAACAAATTGAGAGACAAAAATCACATAATCTTATCAATTGATGCAGAAAAAGTGTTTGACAAAATACAACATTCTTTCTTGATAAAAACTCTCAGTACAGTGTGAATAGAGGGATCATACCTCAACATAATAAAAGCCTTATATGACAAACCTACAGCCAATATCATACTCAGTGGGCAAAAACTAAAACCAGTTCCCCTAAGAACAGGAACAAGACAGAGATGCCCACTTTCACCACTCCTGTTTGACATAGTACTGGAAGTGCTAGCCATAGCCATCAGACAAGCAGAAGAAATAAAAGGCACCCAAATTGGAAAAGAAGAAGTAAAACTGTCATTATTCGCAAATGACATGACAGTTTTAGAGAAAACTCTAAAGACTCCATCAAAAAACTATTAGACTTAATAAATGAATTCAGCAATGTAGCAGGATACAAAATTAACACCCAGAAATCTATGGCTTTTTTTATACACCAATAATGAAATCACAGGAAGAGAAATGAAAAAGACAATCCCATTTACCATTGCACCAAAAAATTAAGATACTTAAGAATAAACTTAACTAAGGATGTAAAAGACCTGTACTTGGAAAACTACAGGACATTGAAAAAATAGATAGAGGAAAACATAAACAAATGGAAGAACATACCATGTTCATGGATTGGTAGAATCAACATCATTAAAATGTCCATACTACCCAAAGCAAACTACAGATTCAATGCAATCTCCATGAAAATACCAATGGCATATTTCAAAGATCTAGAACAAGCTCCAAAAGTTCATCTGGAATAAAAAAAGACCCCGAATAGCCACAGCAATCCTGAGAAAGAAGAACAAAGTTGGACAGATCACAATACCAGATATCAAGCTGTATTACCAAGCCATGGTTCTCAAAACTGCTTGGTACTGGCACAAGAACAGACATGTAGACCAATGGAACAGAACAGAGAACCCAGAAATCAACCCAAGCCATTATGCTCAATTAATATTTGACAAAGGAGCCATGAACATACCATGGAGTCAAGACAGTGTCTTTAAAAAATGGTGTTGGGAAAACTGGACAGATACATGCAAAAAAATGAAACTAGACCACCAGCTTACACCATACACAAAAATAAACTCAAAATGGATAAAGGACTTAAACGTAAGATGGGAAACCATAAAAATATTAGAGGAATCCACAGGCAGCAAAATCTCAGACATATGTTGAAGCAATGTCTTCACCGATACAGCTTCTAGGGCAATGGAAACTAAGGAGAAAATAAACAATGGGACTACATCAAAATAAAAAGCTTCTGCACAGAAAAAGAAACCATCAACAAAACAACAAGAAAGCCCACTGCATGGTAGAACATATTTGCTAATGTTATCACCAATAAGGGTTTAATCTCCAACATTTACAGGGAACTCATACAACTTAACAAAAGGAAGATAAACAACCCAATAACAAAATGGGCAACGGACCTAAATAGATACTTTTCGAAAGACGACATAAGGAAGGCCAACAGACATATGAAAACATCACCTGAGAGATGCAAATCAAAATGACAATGAGATACCATCTCACACCTGTCAGAATGGCTATCATCAACAAATCAACAAACAACAAGTGCTGGTGAGGATGTGGAGAAAAAGGAACCCTTCTGCACTGCTGGTGGGAATGCAGACTGGTGCAACCACTGTAGAAAGCAGTATGGAGTTTCCTCAAAAATTTAAAAATGGAACTCCCATTTGACCCAGTAATACCACTTCTAGGAATATATACCAAGAAATGAGAAACACCAATCAGAAAGAATATATACACCCCTATGTTTACAGCAGCACAATTTACAATAGCTATGATTTGGAAACAGCCTAAGTGTCCACCAGCAGATAAGTGAATTAAAAAACAGTGGTACATCTACACAATGGAATACTATGCTCCTGTAAAAAACAAAGAATTCTTACCATTCCCAACTGCATGGATGGAACTGGAGAGCATTATGCTAAGTGAAATAAGCCAGTTGGAGATAGATAAATATCACATGATCCCACTCATTTGTGGAATGTAATGAACAACATAAACTGATGAACAAAAATAGATCCAGAGACATAGAAGCAGCGAACAGACCATCAAAACCTCAGAGGTAAGGCAGAGGAGTGTGGGAGTGGGGGTAAGAGATCAATCAAAGGACTTGTATGCATGCATATAAGCATAACCAATGGACACAGACAGTAGGGGCATGAGGGCATGTGCTGGGGGGCGGGAGCAGCCGGAGAGAGGTCAATGGGAGAAAAAGGAGACATGTAATACTGTAAACAATAAAGAATTTAAATAAAAAGAAGAATATGAGAATAGAGGACATATTGGGTAATTGATGCTTATATGCCATTCTCGACTAAGGAGAGGAAGGCAGGGAGGGGTCTGGGACTTGAAAGTGAAAGTAGGCAATTCACAAGTAGACCAGAAAGAGCAAACATTTGGTAAATTCTTGCCAGACCTCCCAGAAAGAATGGGACACAGAGGGAAATCTTAACCAACATTGCTTGTCTTCTCACTGTCTACCACACTTAGCTCATATTATGATGCTGAGGTGATAGCTTCCTTTCTTTAAGCAAGTTTTTCTACCTGAGTTCCTTTAGGCAGGTAAAGGGGGAAGTTCAAAGGTTCTTTTTTGTTTCTTAACAGTAACCAGCATAGACCCGGAACCAGGAGGTCATCGTTTCGATACCTGGTCTGGGCACATGCCCGGGTTGCTGGTTTGACCCCCGGAGGAGGGTGTGTGTGTGTGCAGGAGGCAACCTATTGATGGTGTTTCTCTCTCATTGATGTTTCTGTCTCTCTTTCCCCCTCCCTCTCTCTTCTCAAAATCAATAAAAAACATTTTAAAAATAACCAGCTTAAAATAATACACATCCCAAAGAGGCATATTTTGAGGTGACAAAGTCTGCTCTCCCTTACTTTTATAGAGGTTCCATGATCCATTTAACTAAACATTATTGTCGATTATCTGAAGAGTCTTGTGTCTTTCATTATTACAAGTGGAGCATATTGAATATCAGTAAAGTTGGGTGAGGATCCAGTAAGTCAATCATTTCCCAGAATACTTGGCAAATAGCAAGCTCATTACAAATGTTAGTGTTATTTTTATATTGTCAAATTGCCCCATGTAAAGGTGAATTAATTTACATTCTCAATAGGACTTAGTTTCCTTAAATGCTTGCCAATTCTTTCAATTTTTCCTTTTGTATTTCTTCCTCTGTTAATGGCCTGTTCATGTGCTTTGATGGTCCTCCTGTTGAATTCCTCATGCTTCCAAAAATTTAATGGATTTCTTTTTTTAAAAAAATTTGTTTTATTGCTTTAAGTATTACAAAGAGTATTACATATGTCTCCTTTTCTTCCCCCTTGACATTCCCCCAGCCTCCCCGACTCTCCAGTATCTTGTGTCCATTGGTTATGCTTATATGCATGCATACAAGTCCTTCAGTTGATCTTTTACCCCCCCACCCACCCTCCCCGGGCTTCCCGCTGTGGTTTGACAGTCTGTTCAATGCTGCTCTGGGGCTGTCATTCCTTTGTAATATGAATAACAAGTACTTATTTTCCCTACTTTTTGTTTGATGTTTGATTTTGTTTGATGTTTGATTTTGTTTGCTTTAACTACAAAGATGTTTTAAAGTTTAATATAGTACAGTTAAATCTGTCCATCTTTTTGTTAAGATTTCTGTCTTTGCTACACTTTAGAAAGTCTTTGCCACAGAACAGGTCTAGAGTTCAATGGTGGCTCCACCAGTTTTCCTCTGAGGCTTCATTCTTCTGCGCCCCAGAATCTGGGGTGTCATTTTCTAAGTTCTATCAATGGAGTTCACAACACTAGACTACTTTAAACGTATATTGGAAGGGAATACATTTATTAACCTTGAATCTACATGTGAAGACATCTACAAGATGTATTAAAAATGATTGTTGTCTACCTTCTCCCAACCCAGGAAAGACTTCTGCTCTTTTCATATTTTCTGCTTTTCTTTGCCTTCTAGGGAGAGGTTTGTTTTTTTACCAGAGCTATTCTTTGGGGATATAACGAAATAGAAATTGAGTTGCAGATACTTTATTTAGGGTTAGTAGGATATAGTTACGTGGTTTTCTATCATTTCTGCATATAGTTAAGTTATTGCTGGCTATACCAGTGTAGGAATGACTTGTGGGAACACTTCTAAAATAGTAAATCTAAAGCTTATTTAAGATTAGTCTTGACATAAAAACTATGACATATCCTAAAATATTATAGCTAATATATTAAATAAATGATAGAGGTTTGATAGAGGTTTTTCCAAATTTGAAAACAATCCAGATAATTTACATGACATTATCCATGTGATGAGTGGTGGTGAAGCTGAAAAAAACTCATTTGTTTTTCTATTCTTGCTATAAAAATTATACCACAAAAAGTGGTATCAGGTGAAGAGGTGTTCAAAAGATATGCAGCTCCAAAAATAAAAAAGGGTAGCAAAGAGGTATGTTAATTTAATTTAAAGCAGTAATGTGTTTTTTCGATTTTGTGATGTTCATGGTATTTGTCAGTTTAAAAAATATGTTTTCATTGATTTTAAAGAGACAGGAAGGAGAGGGAGAGAAACATCAATTGACCGCCTCCTGCATGCCCCCTACTGGGGATTGAGCCAGCAACCTGAGTATGTGCCCTGAGCAGGCATGGAACTGGTGACCTCTTGGTGCACTGGATAACACCCAACAAACTGAGCCACACTGGCCAGGGTGGTATTTGTCAGTTTTTAACACATGTAATTTCTTTTATGATTCTAAATAAATGTTTAGGATTGTACCCAACTTTGACAAAAAACTTATTTAACCCAAATGGTATAAACTTCAGGCCCCACAGTATCTGGATCTGCTTGTGGTGTAAATGTTGATGGTCATTTGGAGTGTTTCATATTACAGATGACATTGGCTTGCCCAAGCTAAAACAAATAGTTAGTGATAGAGCCAGGATATAACTCTAAGTCTGTCTGTCTTTAAAACTTACATTTTCCCCCACTATCCAAAATTGTCTTTTTTTAGATGAAAATGTATAGTAATCAACCCAAATTATAGTAATAATAATCTACTGAGTTCTAGGTATCAGGCATTGATATATAATATTTAATTTAAACCGCACAATAACCCTATTGTGTAATTATTATTCTCATTTTACAGATGGGATTCAGAGAAGAGAATTAAATTGCTTAGGCTCACAGAGCTAATAAGTGGTAAAGTTAAGATTTGAATCCATGTCTTAAACGAGTCTAAAGCCTCAACTATGTTATATACTGCCTGGGGAGAAAACTCTGGAGTTATTATGAAGGAAGACCCCACTTACCTGTTCCTTCCATCAACCTCCAGGTGAGTACAGAAGAGAATAGATAAGTTCTCTCAATCCAGATGTGAAGGAGAGGGTCAAATCCTCCCACCACAAATTTTTGCATAACACCAAAATGCCCCAGATGCCTCCTTCTGCAAATCCTACACAGAGTTCTGTCATTGCCTTTGCCCATTCTCTTCTAATGCTCTGATTGGCTGCTCAGCTGTTGTATGCTTAATGAGGGAAGGCCTGAATGTGACCAGTCAAGGAGATTTCTGGCCTCTTAGGGCCATACTCAGAGTTGCCACTGAGGGCCCGCGGCATTAACATGCTTATTTAAAGCAACCCTGCCCTTCCTTGCTCTCACTGATCCTGTTTTTAGCAACAGTACTACCTTTCTCAGCTATTTAGTTGATGTCAAATATGGTTGTCAGCACCTTGGCTACCATGGTCTCTTTCTCTTCAAGAAACATAGACCCCAGGGGCACACACCTGGATCATGTCAGTTCTCACTTCCCTTCTCAGGTTGGAGGAGAATAGGGACTTCTGGGTCACAGCCTTTCCACATTCTAATGAGATTTCAACCTGCCTCTCTACATAGAGCGGGTGGAGGCTGAAACAAGCATTTTGAGGGCCTGTGAAAAGAGGCAGGGTTTGCTTCTCAAATTAGTTTACTTGACTCCAAGCACCTTAGGGAAAGCATTTTGCAGGTGTCTTTGCAATTCCAGAGGCTGAGGCTGTGCTTCCTTTATTCCAGCGGTTCTCAACCTGTGGGTTGCGACCCCTTTGACAGTCGAACGACCCTTTCACAGGGGTCGCCTAAGACCATCCTGCATATCAGATATTTACATTATGATTCATAACAGTAGCAACATTACAGTTATGAAGTAACAATGAAAATAATTTTGTGGTTGGTTCACAACATGAGGAACTGTATTTAAAGGGCCAGAGGGTTGAGAACCACTGCTTTATTCCTTCCTCTCCATTCTCCCTATCCAGCCAATAGTTCACTTCTCTACCATAAAGGAGATGCTTTTCTTCAGACAACCAACCTGGGCCTATAGTCCTTGCCTTCCAGGTCACCAAATTTGAATTTTTGAATTTGTGTTTTAGGTCTCACAAGCTGATAGACTCCACTTGGCAAAAAGCAGTGGTTATCTTTACCTCTGTGCCTTCATGACATAGCACAGATTCCAAGTCCTTAAAGCTGGCATAAATTTATAAAAAGGCTTTGGTAGTGATGGACAGCATGTGCTAAAACAGAACCCTGAGCATGGCAGCTTGCCAATCTACAAAAGTTCAAGTAAGAGGTAGAGCACGTGGGAGAAGTGTGGCCAGGTGAAAACTACTTTGTGTGATTGCTTTTTGGCGTCCCCTTACCCCAGAGCAGCTTTATTTTGATATGCAATATAGTTGTGTCCCCAGTGCAAGTATTCTTGACCTCCAGGCCCTGGTATTTTGCACCTGCCTTCCCCTCCCTCTTCAACTCATGTGTGCTGCAATTCTGATCTGATCACCTTAAGCCAACTCCGTGAAATGTTTTACAATCTTTGATCAGTTCTTCAAACAGCTCTAATAGTGTCTCCTGAATCTCCCAAATATTTTTAAAATTTGGGCCGTGGCCATTCAATGATCTTCTCGGAGTGTGTGCCTATCCCCCGTTGGGATTTTATATGTCCAGCATATTTTTTTAAATAAATCTTTATTGTTCAGATTATTACAGTTGTTCCTCTTTTTCCCCCCATAACTCCCCTCCACCCAGTTCCCACCCCACACTCTGCCCTTACCCGCCCCCACTGTCCTCATCCATAGGTGTACGATTTCTGTCCAGTCTCTTCCCACACCCTCACACCCCTTTCCCCCCTGAGAATTGTCAGTCCACTCCCTTTCTATGCCCCTGATTCTATTATATTCACCAGTTTACTCTGTTCATCAGATTTTTTGTTCACTTGATTTTTAGATTCACTTGTTGATAGATATGTAATTGTTGTTCATAATTTTATCTTTACCTTTTTTCTTCTTCTTTCTCTTCTTAAAGAATGCCTTTCAGCATTTCATATAATACTGGTTTGGTGGTGATGAACTCCTTTAGCTTTTTCTTATCACTGTAGCTCTTTATCTGACCTTCAATTCTGAATGATAGCTTTGCTGGGTTAAGTAATCTTGGTTGTAGGTTCTTGCTATTCATTACTTTGAATATTTCTTGCCACTCCCTTCTGGCCTGCATAGTTTCTGTTGAGAAATCAGCTGACAGTCGTATGGGTACTCCCTTGTAGGTAACTGACTTTTTTTCTCTTGGTGCTTTTAAGATTCTCTCTTTGTCTTTTCCCCTTGGCATTTTAATTATGATGTGTCTTGGTGTGGTCCTCTTTGGATTCCTTTAGTTTGGGGTTCTCTGTGCTTCCTGGACTGGGAAGTCTATTTCTTTCACCAGGTGGGGGAAGTTTTCTGTCATTATTTCTTCAAATAGGTTTTTAATATCTTGCTCTCTCTCTTCTTCTGGCACCCCCATAATTCGGATGTTGGTACGCTTGAAGTTGTCCCAGAGGCTCCTTACACTATCTTCATATTTTTGGATGCTTTCTTCTTTTTGCTTTCCCAGTTGGGTATTTTTTGCTTCTTCATATTTCAAATCTTTGACTTGATTCTTGGGATCCTCTAGTCTGCTGTTGGATCTCTGTATAATATTCTTTATTTCAGTCAGTGTATGCTTAATTTCTAGTGGGTCCTTTTTCATATCCTCGAGGGTCTTACTAGATTTATCAAGGGTCTCACTAAATTTATTGGCGGTTTCTAGAAAATTCTTAAAAAACCTTATAACCGTGGTTTTGAACTCTATATCCAGTGGTTTGCTTTCCTCCATTTCTGTCATTTGTGACCTGTTTCTTTGTCTCCACATTTTGGCTGCTTCCCTGTGTTGATAGAGTGGCTTTCTGTGCTAGGTGTCCTATATGGCCCAGTGGCTCAGCCTCCCCAATTACCTGAGGTGGACACTCTTGTTGCACCCCTTTGTGGGCTGTGTGCACAGTCTTGTTTTAGTTAAGCTTTGATTGTTGTAGGTATCACTGGGAGGAATGGACTCCAGGCCAGTTGGCTGTGAGAATCAGCTGTGCTTACGGTGGGAGAACTTCTGTGCCCCCTGAGTGTGTCCTTTATGGATCTGAGGAGTTGTATTCTGGATGGTCCCACTCTCACCACTGGGTACACTGGCTCTTGGATCTCTAAGGAGGTGCTAATATAGCCTCTGCCTGAGGCTACCCAGCAGGAGCTATGGAGAGATCTGCAGATTCCTCTTCTTTGTTTGGGATTTGGAGGTGCCCAGATGAGGCCCAGCTGTGGAGCAATGCAAGCTGCTGTGGGGCCTTGGGCCTTCTTTTGGATGTTCTGGATCTCTCTGACCCAGCTGCAGTTTGTTAGGTAATTTTATTATTTTAAAATATATTTTATTGATTTTTTACAGAGAGGAAGGGAGAGAGATAGAGAGTTAGAAACATCGATGAGAGAGAATCATCGATCAGCTGCCTCCTGCACATCTCCCACTGGGGATATGCCCACAACCCAGGTACATGCCCTTGACTGGAATCGAACCTGGGACCTCTCAGTCCGCAGGCCGACGCTCTATCCACTGAGCCAAACCAGTTTCGGCTTGTTAGGTAATTTTAGATTGCAAAGCTCCAGGTCATTCATATGCAAAAGCCTCTGTGCACAGCTTGGGTGGGGCGGGGTCTCAGGGAATCAACAGGGCGGAGCAAACAGCTATGGCTGATCCTCAGCCCTGCCCTAAGAGATCCTGGGTGTCAGTGTCCCGTGGTAATCGCTGCAAGCACCTCAGAGAAAGTCACCCTCGAGTTCTGCCTGATGCCAGACAGTTCAGTTTCTCCCCGTATGAGTCTGGGTCTGCAGAGACTCACCCAGAACTGGAGTTCAGAGCAGTTGGGAGCTTGTGTCTCCCTCCCGATTAAAAAAGACAACCGCATCCTCAGTTGCCAGCCCTTTCCATGTGTTCCTCCGTACCTCTGCACTTTACTTCTGTACCTCCTCTGAGTCTCAGTGTGCTTTTCTCTTTCCTTCTAGTTGTAGACTTTCCACTCAGTCAGCCTTCCTGTAGTTCTGGTTGATGTCTGTTTTGTCTTTTAGTTGTATTTTTGAAGTGGTTGTGCGAGGCAGCAATTTCAGGTGTGTACCTATGCCACCATCTTGGTTTCCTCCTCAATAATGAAAACTTTTACTATTATTTTTATTTATGGCAGTAGCTAACATCTTAATCATTCAATGAACAGATATTCAGTGAGAGCTTCTTATATGTCAAGTGTTGGGCAAAGTTCTGGAAATAGAAAAGTAAGCAAAAAATATGTGTTCCTTCCTTTCTTGGTACTTATAATAATTTAGTGACAGAAACAGACATTTAAAAATCGCACTGGTGACCATGTAATTACAGAGATAAGTGATCAGAAGGGAAAGAACATGGTTTTCAGTGAGTAAATTACTAAAGAACCTGAAATAGATGGTTGGCTGGGTACAGGGAAGGCTTCACCTGAAGAAGAGAAATAAGGATGAATTGGAATGTAGTAGGTGAGTAGGGGGTGGGAGTCCTGAGTTGAAATATACACCTTAGGGAAGGGAGCAGCATTAGCATATGTCTTAAGGATTTGGTCTCTATCCTAAGATCAGTGAGAAGTCACTGAAAGGTTTTAAGCAAAGTTGTGCCATGATCAGATTTACATTTTAGTAAGATCATTTGGGTTGCTGCAGGGATAATGGATTGGAGGGGAGCAAAAGTGGAGGTCAGGGGACCAGTTTGCAATAGTCCAGATTAGAGACAGTGACTTGGACTAGGGTGGCAGTAGGGGAGATGGAAATCAATTTTGGAGGTGACAGATTTCTTGAAGGTAGTGCTGATGGGACTTGGTGACAGAGTCAATAAGGTGTGGATGGGAAAGGGAAGTGGTGCCCTTTAATATTTACAGCTACCCTATAAGGAAGGAGTTACTATTTTCTCTTGTTTACAAATAAGGAAAGGGAGACATCTCATTGCTTTAGC